TTAGAAGCAGTTCAGAGAAGGTTCAATTGTCTGATACATGGAATGGTGGGGTAGATTTGAGGAAATATTGGACTGTGCATACTTGGATCTACACGTGAAGTGCTGTAACCTGTAGGGCTATGGGCCATCTGCAGGAAGATGGGATTAGAAAGGGCATTTGGGTGTCTTTGGGTCAGCACGGACAAGATGGGCCAAGTGGCCCCCTTGTGTGCTGTATCATTTCTATGGCTCTATGGTGTGGGCCTGTATCCATTGGGGTTTAGAAGAATGTGAAGTGATCTTTTCGAGACACAAAATACTGAGGGGACTTAACAGCATAAATATAACCAGAGGCAGTATTTAAGAATAAGGAGGAGGAATTCTTTCGCTGAGTGCCATTCGAGGAACTGTCTATTTCATACCGCAGTGGAGACAAAGTCACTGAATAATTTTAAGGCGAAGGTAGACAGATTTTTGATTAACAAAAGGAGTCACATGGAGAACAAAGTGCGAATGAAGATTTGAGACGACAGTCTGGCCAGCTCTGAGCTTATTGAATGGCAGAGCAGGCTAATGGACCATCCTGTTCCGAATTCATATATCTGTGTGCAGAGTTCAACTCTCCAAAGAGGAAAACTACAGAATTTGCAAATCTACAAACACAGAATCTGCTTTGTTTCCTTATGGGCATGTTAATCAGCCTTAAAAGGGAATGAACATTGGAAGGATATTAAATGGGGAAGACAATGTAGTGGAGATTACTAGGATCTGTTTAATGAATAATCAAATAACCTGTTAGAGATTAAATAATCACACCATGTTTATAAGGAAACTGTCAATGTACATTTGTTTATATTTTCAAAAAACATGATTTTTAAGCCACATCCGTGGATTTGAAAATGTACTCAGCAACCCTGCACCCCCCGCAACCACCACTGATTCATTTGAATTTTTGAACTCCCAGATTTGGAACAGTTCCCTCCAACTTAACATGAGTGGATTGAAATTTCCTGAATCAAATAGGCTTTTGACAGTATTGAAGTCCAAAAGTGTGTGTGCTTCACCCTGCTGAGTTATAAGATGGTGGGGTTGGCATTCCTAGGTATTTTAATGAAGGGGCCTCCTTTTGGGCCCAGCCTACAGAGTTTGCAATTGCTGCAGTTTGTAAACTCACCCGTAGGGGGCGACTGCAATCTTAAAAAGCAGGTTCCAGCAGCAAATCAACCCTCCCTCCCACCGCTCCAGTATTCCTTAGCTGGGTGTGGTCCCTTTCTTGCAAGGCATGGCCTCTTTAATGTTAGAGACAACAAGGTGCAGGGCTGGATGAACACAGCAGGCCAAGCAGCA